AAGGAAGGAAGGAAGGAAGGAAGGAAGGAAGGAAGGAAGGAAGGAAGGAAGGAAGGAGGAAGAAGGAAAGAAGGAAAGGAGGAAAGGAAGAACAACCTCATCCACAGCACCAGCCATGTTCTACCAGGGCCGCCTAGCTGCGGAGGACATCCGACCCATAGCCACCTTCCAGCTGATCTGAGGCGTATGTGCTGGTTAACCTTGCTTGACAATTTGACCTTCTGAGGAGGAGGGGGCTTCAATTGAAGAATTGCCTCCATCAGATTGCCCTGGGGCCATTTCTGTGGGACGTTTTCTTAATTGATGATTGATGTAAAAGAGCTCAACCCTTGGGCTGGAGGGATGGTTCAGCAGTTAAGAGCGCTGGCTACTTTTCTAAATCAGACCTGGGTTCAATCCCCAGCACCCACGCACCCACATGGCAGTTCACAACTGTCTGTGAGTCCAGTTCCAGGGGGACTGATACCCTCACACAGACATGCATGGAACACCAAATTAAAACAAAATTTTTTTTTAATTAAAAAAAAAAAGAAACAACGTTTAAAAAAAAAAAAACAACCCAACCCAGTGTGGATGGTAGCATCCCTGGGCAGGGAAGCATGGCAGTGTAAGGAAGGCATCTGAGGGCTGGGGAGATGGCTCAGAGGTTGAGAGCACTCGTGGCGAGTGCAGAGGACCCGGGTTCAGTTCCCAGCAGGTGCAGTTTCCAGTAAATAAGTGGTGACCCACAACCATCCCTACTCCAGTTCCGGGGGGATCCGATGACCTCTCCTGACCTGCACACACACACACACACACACACACATACACTGCACATATCCAAATGCAAGCAAAACACTCATGCACGTGAAAAAAATTAAAAGAAGATACCTGAACGCGAGCCTGGGAGCAAGCAGCAGGCAGTGCTCCTCCTCGGCTTCAGTGTCTAGCTCCGGCCTTGGTTCCCCTTGGTGCTGGACTACAGCCCGGGAGATGAAAGGATGCCTCCCCCCCCCCCCCCCCGCCACGCTGCTCTTGGTTACGAAGCTTATCAAAGCAGGAGAAAGAACA